GTGCCGAGGTTGGTGCGTAAACCTGTATGACCTTCAGCGAATACCGTTTGGTGATTCTGAGTATAAGGTACGCAACCCCCGTCGACACACTCCCAATCTTTACAATATTGTTAACGAGAGACTTGTGGACGATAAATCCGACACCTCCTTGGGACAGATGGTCGCCCTCCCGGTGATAGAACAAGTTGCCGGATTCGAGGATTACCGTGTCCTCCTCCTCTCTTCGGACCTCGGATAATCCTATGATATTCCAGCGCAACTTGTCTATCTCTTCTTTCAGCTCAAGGATCTTCTCGTCAGTCCTCAGGATGCGTGCGTTATAAGTTGCCAGGTCGAATTGTCGTTGGTGGCAACCGAACCTCCACCGGAGATTCTTAGCACCCCTGCCCCGCCGTTACCATGGTTGCCACCGTAGCCAGATATAGCGGGGCTGCCGGGGACTGGGGGCCGTCTCTTTGTTACTCTCATCATTTGGGGAGGTTTTTCCATAGTTGCCACGCTTGGCAAGCGGGTTGACAACCGCAGTTTTTTTAATGTAATATGGTTGTTATCAGGAAGATGCTGCTGCCCATCTCCTGCCTTTTTCCCTTTGTCGCCTTTTATGACACCCACGGGAAGATATGGGGTAGTGGATATTCTTAACCGCCACTACACGGCAATATTAGTGGTGCTCTCCTAGTATTTTAAAAAGGGAATATGCATCTTAGGAGTTATTAGTTATTTTAAATATTTATTTTGAGACTTCATACACTAAAAGTGCTTTTGTTAGGGTACTGGAATCAGAACACTTTCAAAGAATATTTTGGAACCCCACTCTCATATTCAATGCAAATCCTTTAAGCTACCTAAGTTTTTAGCTTCGGGCAAAGCGAGTACATACTTACTTAATTTGCATAGTACTACAACGAACAAAAATAAACCGTTTCATTTAAAATCATTGGACATGTAAACACATGACTGTTTTTGTTATTTTCTAAGCTAGAATAAATATAATATGTACTTTTATTATTATTATAAATAAATATTTTTTCATTAATTAATCACAGCCTATTAGAGTCCACTGTTGAATTTCTTCACAGTGGTCACATTTGCCATAGTTTAAGTATCAGATTTAAAAAAACAAATTATTATCAGGAAGACACTGCTGCCAACCAGCTCGTGTTTCATTTCCTTCTGATGACTTTTAAGACACCCACGGGATGACACAGTGAGATGTCATCCCGTGGTCGTCAGCTGTTTTACACACCCACGGGATCTGACCATGTCATCCCGTGATACACACTCAGGGCGTTCAAAATTTCGAACAGATGTGTGTCATCGTGTTATCAGTGGATTTTATTACGCCGCCACTACACCGCAGTATAAAACTACACAAAAATAATAATTAAAGATGCTGAACATTCGAAAAGCTTCTAATACCTAAACAGCCTAAACGAGTTTGATTAATCTAAATACGAGATAAATATATTAATTGACTAGTTCTTTCTAAAAGTGTGCTGTTTAAAGAGAGCTGTTACAATACAGGCTCTGAGGTATTCTATCTTAGTACTCAGAGATCATTTGTAGTCTTCTTCATTAGAAGTGTTCCGCAGGTGGCCATGGGCTGTGGTAGCCATTTACAATCAGGTGGACTGTGATTTCGATTCACACTTCAATTTTTAAATAAAAGTGCTAATAAAAGTCATAATCTATATAGAATAAAATTTTTAGACTATTATTTTGTATTACATAATTTTGAATAGTGATACAGCAAGAGTGCTACATTCACGGGGTTTACAATTAATCACGGCTGTAAATCTTGTTAGCTTGTATTGTGGTTGCGGAGTTACGTGCAATTAGATTATTAGATATGCCTTCTGAGGGCCTAGACAAGTGGCATTCGCTCCGTGTCTAATCCATTTCGAAAATCGATTTCGTCTTAGCGATATCGAACGACAAGTGGTAGACAAAGTGACATCGGCAAACCTAACGCTAAGTCGAAACGTTCTTTCGATAAAAAACAACTTCTTGACTATGGTGTCGAAATGAAACGTCAAATTCAAGGCGCGCTAAATATAAACAAACAAACCACTTCTTATTAGGTTGTGAAACAAAGTGTACTTGTTAACGTTATATTAAAGTTTGCTCGGTGAAAGTGAAGTTATTGGAGTTTTGAATTAACTAGTTAAGTAAAGAATTATATAATTATAAGAAAGGTAAGTTTCTTAACTTCGTAAAATTATTGTGAGTGCCAAAATTACACTAGTTTACTGGATATCAATGATTGTGAGTATATTACATATTTATAACGATAAACAAGCGGGAACTGACAAGCTTTTTTCCGTTTTTAAGGATAATTACAATGGATCCACGAGTGCGAGCCAGTGGTCAACAATTTTCGACCCTTTTGGAGTTCATGGAAAGGTTAAGAAGTATTCATCTAAACCATGAACTTAATTAAATTCAAATGACTGAGTATGCTCAATGTAAACAATGACGTGATGTTAACAATCCGTTGCTTATTGCCCTATTGTTTGTTCAATTGCAGTCACGGCGATCTATCCAATCCCCGATGTGGGCCTCAAGGGCGCTTGAAATCCGAGCGGCTGTGGTGTGAGTTGGCAGTAACATTAAACTCCATCGGTGGTGGAGTAAATAAATCGGCAGACAAATGGAAAAAGGTAACAAATTCAACAGCTATATATGGTAATAATCACTTTATGCTTTACTTTATTTATATTAACCATTTACTATTAATATACACTATTATTACTTATTACCTAACTTTCCTACATATTGCTTAATTAATTTCGAAGGTATGGGCCGACTGGAAGTCGAAAACAAAAAAAAAAGCATCACTAATAAGGCGTCATGCAAGTGGTACTGGTGGTGGGCCGAGTATTCGCCAAACCCTCACAGCTTTTGAGGAGAGGGTGTTGGCCATCATGGGGAATTTGACTGTGGATGGTCTGCCAAGCATTCAGGAACAAGGCTTTGTAAGTATCGCACTTCTTCATTTAAAATTCAGGGTTAACTGATCACTTGAATATTTAAAACATGTATTTTATTAATAAAATAACATATAATTAATTAAAATACTCAAATGGAAAATTAATCAAATGCCTAGTTTAATGAAATGAGTAATGTCACAAGAGGTTTTATATGATATGTTATGGTTAGGTATTAGTTAAATTAAGATTTCAAGTCATTTTTTTGCAGGGACTATCACAAGTCATCTCCTCGCCAACTCTGGCCCTGAGTCCACCACCAGCCACGCACCAACAAGACACAATTGATTGTGAAATCACAACAGCCAATCGTATGTATAGCTACATACTACTAAATATTTTAATATTTTATAAATACTTTATTAAGTAGGTATTTGAATTCAAGTTCATTTTGTTTACAGAGTCTGTGGCAATATCACCACCTGCGCCCACTACTCCTACACCATCTTGCAGCTGGCAGCCACCGCACACCCTCACACAGGAGACCTCAACATCGCAATCCATGAGGAGTTCAAGAGTGCAACCTGCACCTTCTACCCCTCCGCCGACCTGCAGGCGACGATTCCCACCAACCCCGAGGTCTGGGATAACTGCTTCCCCCACACAAACGTCTCTAAGGGCTCGCCGGAGGCGTACACTCACACCATTCGACAGAGCAACGAGTGAGTTCCTTGCCATCGAACAGTTACGTCTTCGGCAGGAGGAGAGAAGAGACAGGCAGCTGTATGAGCTGGAAACCCGAAGGATAGAGGTTGACCACGAGCGTAATCAAGTGTTACGCATGTTTGCAGACATTGTGCAAGTGTGGTTTGACCACTATCGGAGTAGGGACAATACGGAGCAATAAGAGATACACCAAGCTAATATGGAGGAATTTCTAATGGAAAAACCCAATAACACTGCCCAACCCGGGGATCAAATCCGAGACCTCACGGTTAGATATCCGCTACTATTGAAATTCGTCCATAAAAACTAGTTTAAGATAATGTTAGAAATACTTTAATTTCAACAGCTTTAAAGACTTTTAAATTTAGTACTAATAAGATTTATTTTTAGTACTGATACTACTTTTAGTTTATTCAAAGTTTAATATTGTTATTTAATAAGTAGATAGTTCAGTGTATGTACCTAGATAGTTCTTATTCAAGTAGTTGTAATAAAATAAAAGAGTTGGTTATGTATATTTTCTATTTCCCGTGTTGGTTTCATTTTCTTTTATTTAATCTGGTGTTAATTTATTTTGTAATGGTTGTTTTTATGCATATTTTTATTGTTTTATTTTGTCTTTAATGTTTTTAGTCATTTTTTTTTTGTATTTGAAATTTATTATCACATTTAATTACCTTGTACGTAATTTAGTTTTTAAGTACAGTCTGGTAAGAGCTGAAAAACAGCTCTGTACCAGATCTGTATCTCGTTACAGACAAAGCTGAGCTGTCTCCTTTTGTCTCCAATAATTATAATATTCTTTTGTTTTAACCTTATGTAACTGTGTTTTTAGAGGCAATAAACAATTATTATTATTATAACACTTGTTTTGACCATTTTTTATTTTAATAACATCCAGAATGGGGTACTAAGATGATGGCTGAAAGAGTATGAAAGGAAAGTACCACATACGCCGCTGACCTCAATTAAGTTAGGACTAGCACAGGTGAATGGTGAAACACAATAAAAAAAATCAAAATGTCATCTCTATAATTATGTAGACTATTTTATTAATCAATGTTTTATAAACAATCTCACCAAAAACATAACAAAAAGTTGTGAGATCTAACATACAAACATTGCAAGGTAGTAAAAAACTTGTAAAATGAATAGTCACACCACATTACTCTACTTTTCCAACCAAGCAACAAATGAAACATTTAGTCAAATTTTATACATTACTATTTGTCTATACAACTAACAATACTTAATATTTAACAACTCTGTACAAATATTGGCACAGTTGAACAATTATATATATGCTAAAATGCTAAATAATTAATAAATATAGATACTTAACTACATCTACAATCTACTTATTAAATAATTGAGCATTGCCCTGCCTCGGATTAATTCATTTCGATTCTCCGTGGTGGTGCTTTGGGTGGTTTGTGTACTGGAGTCATCATTATCATCTACAGTAGTAACAGGGATATCACTTGGAGCAGGCAAGTGTGCATGAAGCGAGATGTTGTGTAGCACACAACATGCAAGTGTTATTTTGCTGGCAACGTTGGGATGATAATGAAGGACCCTGTCACGAAGCAAACACCTCCAACGTGTTTTAAGTAATCCGAAGCAGCGCTCAATACATGTCCTGGCTTGTACATGACGAGTGGTGTACAATTCCTCTCGAGACCCATGTGGAGCATTTAATATTGGAGTCATAAGCCAAGGGCGTTGTGGATAACCAGAATCCCCTGAAAGCAAGAAGTTATGAATGAGAAAAGATTTAAAGCATACTTACCTATGTTATACTACTTCTATATATTTAATGGTATATATATATGTCTCTTATAAATATCTTACTCTTATAATATCTTACTTACCAAGTAACCAAACATGTTCACCACTTTCATGAAGGTGACGCATATAGGGTTCTACGAGACTCGATGACCATATGTGGGAATCATGTGTTGCTCCACCAAACTTAGCATTTATGTTCATTATTTTTAAATTATGATCACATACCTGAAAATGTAATTTTATGTAGTATCAAATAAAATTGGTAGTTATGAAAGCAGAAATAATATTTCTAGATTTAAATACAAACCATTTGAACGTTTAAGGAATGATATCCTTTTCTGTTATAGAAAGCATGCTCTTCTTCAGATGGTTTTACTATAGCAATGTGGGTGCAGTCGATGCATCCTATCACTCCTGGCAAATTATACTTCCTTTGAAATCTGAAAATGAAGATTTTTGTAATATAATATGGCAGAGAAGTAACAACCTATTCATGTTACTTAAATTTAATAATTACTGTAGTTAAGATATACTTAATATACTTTATTTTTTTAGCTAACCATAACCTAGAAACATAAGCATGATTACTTACTCTTCTTTGATTAATGATCTTTCTTGTACTGTTTGTGGAAATTGAATCCACTTGCTCATGAGTGTGGGGTGGTTGAGCGCATCAACGACTTGCCGGACACACCGGCTCGTTGTTCTTTGTGTTAAATTTTGACTAACACCCACGATCCTTTGATAGGAACCAGTAGCTAAAAAATTAAGAGCAGTGAGCACCTAAAAACATAAAGTAATGAGGTAAAGAAAATGTTGAAATCAAACGTAGTAGCATCAAAACTATTGTTTATTTATTTAAGTATTTGTAAACGTTTAGTAAGGTTACCTTAATTTTCAAAGGGATTTCTTTAGATCCTCTTAGCGACGTATGAACACGCAAATCGTTGCAAAGCCGCCGAAAGGTGCTCTTATTTAAACGAAAATGTTCAACAAACAGTAACTCAGGCATATCTTCCACACTTTCCATTGTTTGCCGGTAATTGTATCTTTTTTGACGCCTCAACCACACACTTTCATTATGTGCAGCCCTTAGTAAACGCAACGTATGCATTTTTATCAAAAAACCACGAAATATAAGAAACAAGCAATAATTGATGCAAACAACACCAACAGCTGACTAACAATCAGCCATGTTATTTTGCTTTTCTAAAGGGTTCAAGTGTTCGCCAAGTTGTCGAATGAACGTTTCGACATCTAGCGATTTAGAATGTCAAAAGTGCCACTTGTCTACGCATTCCTAAGATAATATCGTTCGTGTTGTTCGTTTTCTTTATCGCTTCGATAGGCAGTTTGACATTGTCTAGCAATTAGCGATCGAAAACGGTCGATCACGTGATCTTTCGAAAGCATATGTCAATTCCATACATTTTGGAGTTCTCTAACTTCGTTATCGTTACTGAAAATGTGACTTTGTCTAGGCCCTCTGTGTATACATGTAGTTTGTGGCGTCGGATGGTTTATTGAACTATTTATAATCTAAATTCTGATATACCAGACAATGGTAGTAAATAAATATAATTGGTGTTAATTAATTCAACAGTCCGAAGTTGCTTTCAAATAGAATGCTATGCAACTTTGTTTACTTGTCACAATTTATGGCACGTATATCTAGGATTTATTATATTTTTGAACTGCAGGTAAAATTTCAAATTGATTTTACAGCCTGTTAAGGAAAACGAAAACTTTTATTATTTATAATTTAATTGTATTGTGACGGCACTGTCGTCGCACCACAAGCGAAACACATATAAGCCTAAATGACGCTATCAAAGTTTCAAAGTAGAATAGCTCCGAACTATCATATGGAGTATTGGTCGCTCCCCGGGCTCACCGGGCCGATCACAATGTTGGCAGGAGATCTTCCCTTTTTCCTTCCATGGATAAAATTGATGACCAACCGACGTGAACAAGCCTTCCTCATTATCCTTAAGAACCCCTGCTATTCACTCCTGAGAATTGACTTAACTTCCAGTAGAACATTTTCACCGGAACAGAGCGTTTGCCATGTCTGCCCTGCCTCAGTAGAAAAGCATAGGTCTACTTTATTATTTAAAATTATCTTACAAAAGTCACTTACACTATGCACGGAAGCAAGGAAACCAGGCAATGCAACGCTAGAAAGATTTCTCACACCAATGCCACCAAATTTTATAGGTAAAGTAGCTTGAGTCCAGGCTGTTGTATTTAAAGTTAAATTTAGAATTTTTTTTATAGCTATTTTAAGATTCTTATCAATATCTTTTAAAATATCTGAACATTTCCAGACTGGACTCGAGCGAAGTAAGTATGTAAATCTAGGTACAAGGAGACAATATTTTAAAATAGTAAGAGCTATGTGGGGGTTTAATTTATACAATTTATCAACGTGGTTTAAAAACTGATCAAATTTTGTTTTTAAAATAGGTTTAATACTATCGAAAAACAACGGGGCACCTAGCAGGTATAGTGATTCCGTACTGACAGTTTTTATTCCTGGAGAAACATGATTGAAATTTTGAATTAAACTGTCTTTATGAGAAGTAGATAAATTATTGGAAAAAAATATTTCACATCTATTGATATTTGGTTCAAGACCAATATTTTTAAAATTTCGAAATATATGAGTAAGATCACTGAGGACGTCATCTGCTCTACCTCCCAGTGTACCGTCGTCCAGGTACCAGACATTCAGCTTGGATTTCAAATTAGAAATAATGGGTTGAATTCCCAAACTGAAAAGTGCTGGACCTAGTGGGTCATTCTGCTGAACACCGACAGCAGAATCGATAACATGGTTTTCGTAAAACAAGTTAGTATTTTGACTATAACATTGCCAAACGTAATGATAAATTTCGGGGGTATTGTTAGCCACTTCTTTCAGCAAGGTTACCCAATCGATAGAGTTAAAAGCATTCCTTAGGTCAACCTTCACACGAACATCTGCATCAGAGTTTGTTAAAAATGTACGCACTGAATGTACCGCCGCCTCACAGCCAACTCTAGTGCCAAAGCCTAGTTGAGTAGGCTGAAATTTGTCCTTAAGGTTAGAGGTTATGTGCCTGCAAGCTAATTTTGAAGTTAAGGGTCGAAATGTAGAACCAAACGGCAATAGGACGTAAACCGTTATCATTTTTTTTGAAGGCACATAATCTTACCCCATTTGAGAATGGAATGAAATTTGGATTAAAATTACCAGAAAGCATAAAGTTACATAATTTTGTAATGTCTTTAAAAAGTACTCCGCTGGCGTCACCGGCAGAAGCGCTTACAAGATCTTTAAGATGTTGAGGCGTAATTCCGTCAATGCCGCCAGCAACGCATTCGAAAATGACATAATTGCTTCTAAAGTTGCTTTTTCAGAAATTTGTAAAGGTTGTATAGAAGTCTTGGGAGGCAGCGGTAAACCCTGAGAAGGTTTGACCGAAGGATGCTTCTGACGAAGGCCTTCAAGAGTTTCGACATTACGAGGAGCCAGGATGTCGTCTGAGAATAAAATACGGGATGCATTTTTTAAGTCGCCATCCATTACTTTCGACTCAACTACTTTTTTTTAATTAAATTTAGGCCGTGGTCGAGATAAATGAGTATTAATTGGGTAATCTAAATTTTGAAAAGATGTCTCTTTTAGTTGAGACGTAATTGATTTATTTATTGTTTTATCAAAATGAAAATGGGAATATGCGAAAGTAAATAATTTTTGACAACTATTTTCACTATTAGTAAAACAAATTTGAATAGTGCATGACAATGCTTTAGCAAGCTGCATCCTCACACCTCTAGGAATTCTTTTAACCACTGGTAGATTACGATGATAATTGTAAATTTGCTCCGAAAAAAGGGAAAAATTTGTGTCATTAGTTGAGTTGCTAAAAGAGTTATGAATTTCTACGGTAGGCTGTGAAGCCGAAATGCTATTACTATGGAATCGTTTAATATGTATATTTAAACCCCTTTTACCTTTAAACAGCCTACCGTCGGCACAATTTTGACACTTTAGGAAATCCGGCTGCGAATATAGCGGAGCAGAGATATTCATTAAAAAATCTAAACAAATCTCTACAGCACTCAAAAGTCTTTATATTACATAACTTTATATTTAATTGCTGCTGTACCCCGCATCTTTCCCTGAAACAATCATTTACGTCGTAAATAAAAGCACTTTACTCTATAAATAAAAAATTATCACATTACTTCCCAGGATTTATTCCATATTGATAAAAAATTGTTTGTAGTCGTTATGCTTTGACAGTTGACAACGACGCAGCAGAAATATTTTCCTTTATAAATGAGTATTATGTCGGAAACCAAAAAATAATTATTATAACAACTCTCTTATATATTTACTGATCTAAATAACAAAATAAAATAAGTTAAATATACGTAGCTTTTGACAGTGAAAAATTTTGACATTTTTTTGTTAAGTTATCATTATATTATAGTTTTATTTTTCTAAATTATAATCACGGAAGTATAACTTCTAACACATACAATACTTACTGTTACGAGCTTGGGGTTCGAGACAATCAAAAAATGCCGAGTTAGTTACCAAAGTTGACACTTTAATTACAGAACCCTAATTACTACTTAAAACCACACTAATAACAAAACACAATAATTGTACTACTGATAACTTTAGTTCGCACTTGTATCGCTTCGAAGTATTCGCTTGTATCGTCAACTCAACACTGACTAGTTCGCTTTTTTGCGCCCAGAAGCAATGGAAAGAGCTTCCCTCCTGGAAGCGAGGAAGGGAGGTGGTGAATACTCTAAGCATACCACGACAGCCGGCTGCCATGGTTATGTGGGACTCACTGCAAAACCTAAGTACCTACCCACTAAACACCATCTGTGAGACTGGCGTTGACTTGTGTGGCCTTTCTGCCGAATCGGAAGCGATCCACTTTAGGGAAAAGGGGGCGCAGTTCTAATTCGCGATCTATACCAGTCTTATATAGGGCCTCAGATAATTTCCAGAATCTTCTACTGTAGAAAGATCCAGAATGTTCGAGTACATACCGGTCCCGACTGACTAGGTGTCGATAGTTCTAAAAAGTTCTTCCATGGAAAATTCTAGAAGGATCTTGACTCTCTTAGTTTTGCTATGTTAGTGTTGCCATGTACCAGGCATTAACGGTGGCGCTCAACATTACTAACACCTGTTCTCTTGAAATATATAAGAACCACACTAGCAATGTTTATTACTTATCAGTGTTCGCATTTATATTAACAGGTTAAAAACTCGCTTATTCTTATTAGATACCGGCAGCGTTAGTAAAGTGCAGCGTATTAAAACATGATAATCAATACTTCAGTAGTTTACCGCATTATTAAACCTGTGTACTGGCGATGTAAGTGATTGAAGAGGTGTCGTAAGGGGTAAATGCTATTGCCAAACTGCCAGCCAACTATGAGAAATATCATTATATTATAGTCTTTTAATAGACAGTGATAAATGACTTAATGATCAAACTGATAATTAATTATTGAATTTTGATACTGTACGTGTTAAATACTATCACTACTAAGTGATAGGGTTCCCTTTCTGATTAGAAAGCCTGTATAGATAACACCAATATTTATCTGCCACCAAGCATCACTACATCCACTGAGAGAGTTCCTGTCAAAGGAGTATGCCATCAAAAACATAACTTGTAAAAAAACCAAGTCTCGCAACTCAGTTCTTCTACCGTAAAAAGTTTTGAGATCCATGTAATACCAAGTCAGTTAATTTATTCAGCCCTACTTAACGGTCCTTCTGTCTCAAGTTATTACGTAATAAGCTAACCTGCCAATCTTATAGTGACCATATCAGTATTAAAAATCTTTTATGTTTTAAATACATAAATTGACTTGGCAATCGCACTAAACAATCTAATTTAATATAATATGTATTACTTGTGAGATACATTGTGTTTTCATGCGATGGCCAAGTCAATCTATTTATTTAAAACATAAAAGAAATTTAATATTGATATGGTCACTATAAGATATTGGTACGTTTTATTCGAGCAATTTAGTCTACTTAATACTTTGCGGGATTTTGGTACAACTTAATAAGCCATGTCCCATTTT